CAGGCGGCTTGGGCCGCAGCAGGGCCCGAGCCCGGGGAAGGACGCGTCCCCGTTCGCCATGGCTCGGTACTCCCGGAGGCGGGGAGCCTGGGCTGGGCGCGCAGGAGGGGCTCTGGGGCCGGGAAACCCCGAGCAGGGAGGGTCTGTGTCTTGTGAGGACAGAGTACTGTGACGCTCCTAGGAGGACGGTGTCTGTTGTTGTTGTTGTTAACAAATTTACATTTTAATCGCTTTCTGCTAAGACAAAAACGGGATTATTTTGACCTTTCAGAGCACAGCTATGTACGCAATAGATTAAAACCAGTCTGCTGGAGGTTGGCAGACAGTGGATGTGAGCAGAATGGAGTCAAGGCTGGGAGAGAAGCCCTGCGATTGCCTGAAGCCAGTCTCCATTCGGAGGCAGCAAGTGCAAAGCTCTCTCCTGCAGCTGCCAGGCACCATTCCCTGCTGGAAAGCGCTCCCCGGAGCTGGGCATCGCACCCTGGAGGAAGCTCTTCTGTGGCTGTGCAGTTAAAGGCAACTGGGGCAGGGTGGTGCAGCGCCAGAACGGGGGTGCAGGGCACTGCCCCCGGCGCAGGGATGCTTGCGTCTGGAGATGCCAGTTCACAGCCTAGGGATGAGGAGTATTTGATAGCAGGGTGGAAGTGCTGAGCGGCGTGGGTCTCAGCCCAGCAAAGCAGCAAAGGAGGATATGGAGCATTTTACTAAATCTCTTTTTTTCCTTCCCCGTCTGTGGTACTTTAGGTGTGTATTGTGCAGAAGAGGGACACTGAGAAGATGTATGCCATGAAGTACATGAACAAACAGCAGTGCATCGAAAGAGATGAGGTTCGCAATGTGTTCAGAGAGCTGGAAATCCTGCAGGAGATCGAGCACGTGTTCCTGGTGAATCTCTGGTGAGCATCTCCTCCCCTCGCCTTCTGGGGCCACCTGCCCCCAGGTGCTCGCAGAGCCACGTCCACCCTGTCCTCCTGGGCTCGCGGCCATCCGTGGGGGCATCCCAGTGAGCTGCTGCAATGCAGGTCCGTGGTAACGTGAAATGCATTCAGGAAATCTGGCACAGAAGATATCCAAATGTTATGGCATCAAACATTTTAAAACAGCTTAGCTTCTCTTTTTTGCTCAAAAACCTTTGTGTGTTTGTTGGGTGTTTTTCACAGCCTTCTTGCAAATACCACTATCAGGTCCCTCCTAAGGGACCCCCTGCCAATTTAACCGTAAATGATTTTTTAACGTGGTGTGTTGGTGTGCAGTTCGACTAAGGGCAGTTCGACTTGGGGCAGTACGATTCCCCTGGTGACTGCCGTTAAAGAAATAGTCCATCTCACGTGCATGGAGATACTGAGAACTGTGACAGTCTGTGGTGAATCAGATACTGCGTGGGGCCAATTTTTGTAGCAAATAACAGCTTGAAAAGCCAAAGAAACTAGCATTTTTAGAGATGATGATTTGTAACTTTTATTAATACAAAATCTATACAATATATATAGTGTTTTACACAGCAAGTAATTGGTCCCTCTAAAGGACTCGGTCTTGCAGAGATTGGCTGATAGTTCACATAAGCAGAAGGGCTCTCAGCCGCAGCCAGTGCGTGCGGTGAAGCGTCGCTGGGGCAGGTCCCAGCTCGGGAGGCTTGAGCGGGTGGTTAAAGCTGTCCTGGCCTGGGTCTGCGCAGGCGCTGCAAAGGCGGCTCCGTGGATGTACACCGAGGGATGCTGGTGTGGCGGGGGATTAAAAGGGTTGTAGGGAAGCCAAGGAGGTACGCTGCATGTCATTTTTTACTGTGACTATCTATCTAGACTGGATGCATTTCAAAAGCATTACCAACTAAAGCTATTTGTTGGATTTCAGCCTGATTTGAGGAGTTTTTTTAAAAATTAGACCCTAAAACGTTACTCAGTAACGAGGTTAATTTTTGCCAGTGCACACACAATCAAGTTAGTATTGAGCAATTTGAAATGTAACTATTGTTAGTGATCTGTTGCTGAAAAAAAGCTATGAGATCTCTTCAAATTATCAGGTGTGTGGCCTTTTGCTGGAGAACAACTGAGGGCAAAAAGTGCTTTGCAACGCATTCACTGGCCAAATAAAATATATTCTTTTAGAGCTCAGATATATCATTATCAAATTTTGCACGAAAAATTAATTTGCAAGTTTTAGAAAATACTGCATTTATATCCTAAGATCGTTGGTTAGTTTGGGATGAGTCCTTAGCAGTCAGCCTCGTGACCCTCTCCTGGATCCTGCTGCCGGCTGGTCCGGGTGGTCCGTCCTCTCCCTGCCCGGTGAAGGAGCGCCGACGCGGGGCAGGGCTCAGAAGAACCGTCGTCTTCGCCCGCGGTCAACCAGCACGCCACAAATGGATCCGGTGCCAGCAAGCATCTCGGATTACTGCTAGGAGGGAGCTGGGGCAAGAGCAAATACAGGGCGCGTTGCAGGGTGATAGAAGTAAGGAGTTCGTGCCTTATATTACCAGAACGCAAGAAGAAGGACGTTTATTGGAGGTGATGGAAAACCTTTGGCATCCCATTGAGTGCAGGATGACGGACTGAGAAGGGAAGAGTGGTCCCTTCTCTTACTGTATACGTGACCTGGGTTGCTCAAAATTTTGCCTAGGATTTATTCCCCAAGTGCCTTGCACACCCTTGGCGTGGTGTGAAATGCATTTGTTCAAATGATAGCGTGGCTTTTTGTAAAGCTGAGGCTTAGAGGCAGATAGGCAGTATTTCCAACCAAGCAGTTTTTGAGATTTCCTAAAAATTTGTGCAGCCACAACCACAAGGAAAAAATAGTAAATGTAAGATAAAGGCCATGCTTACTTGGAAAATAATGGGTAAGCAAAAATGGTATATTATGTACAAATTGCAAGGAAGTGCATCTGCAATGCACGGTGCACAGTAAACTCCTTCAGAGGTTGCAAGGGTTATGTTACTACTGAAATGTGTTTTTGAGGCTAGAATCAGGGCCTCCTGACCAGCTCCCTGTTTCATAGGGGCAGAAGCAGCGGTTTTTCCCGGGGAAGCTGCGCACCTCGGATGGCCAGACAGGCTGAGCCGCGGGGTCCCCTCCCTCTCCGGCCACGTTGGATGCATGGCAGGCTGCTGGGCAGGAAGATTTTCAAAAATTCAGAGTTTTAGACCCAAAGTGGTGGAAGTTGATAATACTTTACATTCTTTTTGTTGATCCGTTACTCCAGAATAACCAAATAAGTTAATGTTTATTTTTTCAGCATTTTAGCAATTGCAAATATTTTTTTCCAACAAGTAATGAGATTCTTAAGAAAACTTGCTCTCTTAGCAAATTTCAGCTCGTACTTTTAGAATAAGCCTACATTTAAGATGAGAGCAGAAGTGTGTGATTCATAAGTATTATACAATCCCACGTGCTCTTTCCTTAGAAATACTGTCGCCAAATATAACAATTGAACGTTGTTTTGTAGTGTATCCTCACTGCTGTCAGTCTCCTGCAGGATCCACTGGAGATTTAGAGAGGCGTTTTACTCTACAGTAAATATAAATCTCTTTTTCTGGTTTTTATGGTTAAATTAGCACTTGTGTTTTCCAATTCTTTTTCAGGATAGGCAGAGATATTTTAAGTATAGGTTTATCAGATTGTTCACCATTGAAAATGCAAAGTTTCTCTGAAGTGACTGGCTAGCAAAGCCCCGAGCTCTGCCTGCAGCTCTGCCTGCCGGTGGGGTTACACGGCAGCGCTCGGGAGGTGACGGTGGCAGGGCGAGCGGGGGGAAGTTAATTGGGACTCTTACGTCTTCAAAGGAAGCGTTGCTTAGTGTAGCAGTAGGTTAAAAAACAAGACAGCATCTTGAGTTGTGCTTGCTTAATTGGAAAGGTGTAAACACCGAAGCGGGCATATGTTCGTAGTGGGATTGTTTGCAGTTTTCACAGGAGCTGTGTAATTAGGAGAGGGGAAAAGCCTGACTTGGCCGTGTGACGCCTGTGAGACTCAGCCGACTCGCTGATGCGCCGCTGGTCCCGCAGGTACTCCTTCCAGGACGAGGAGGACATGTTCATGGTGGTGGACTTGCTTCTCGGTGGCGACCTGCGCTATCATCTGCAGCAAAACGTTCAGTTTACGGAAGAAACAGTCAAACTCTACATCTGTGAGATGGCGCTGGCTCTCGACTACCTACGAAGTCAGCATATTATCCACAGGTAACCACGCGGTCTCTTCCTCGCAGCAGGTGGCTGGCGGGAGCTGCCTGTGCCCCACGCTGCCCGTGGCTGGTTTGGGGTGGGCGACGCTGCCTCTGCTGCAGTGAGGCCCTTAACCCCATCGGCACCCCCAAGCCGGGAAACTGCCGGCGTTAAACTGTACCAGCAGCGCCGGTCCTGGGCGCCCTCCGGCTGCTGGTCCTGCTCCCCGTCACTCCGAGGAAGCCTCACGCTTCACCGGGGGGCTGAAAGCGGCTTCCAGGGCGGGTTTCAGAGCAGTCTCACAGAAATAGGCTCAGTCTTGGGCTGTTAATTTTCCTTAGACATGATGCCCAAACAAGTCAGATGCTTCCCACTTTTTTGCCCAGTTGCCCAGGAGAAGCATATTTCTAGTCCATCATAAAGGGACTTGTCTCATGTTAGGGTATTTTTGTTTTATTTCTTTCTAATTTTTGATAGATAAAAAAGTTGCAGGTTTTTTTGTTGTTGAGTTGCATCCTTGATCTGACTGAGATTTCATCTTGCTGTAACCTTGCTTCTTTTCCCAGAGATGTAAAACCAGACAACATCCTCCTCGATGAGCAAGGTAGGATCGCTCTGCTTTGCTTTGTCTGCCTCCTTTATTCGAGGGACAGATTCTTTACAGTCTTGAATACTCTGCCTCTTTTTATCTGGGAAAAGTGTGACAAAGGCACCACTCCTTCTAACTGATCGGTGTTTGGTTGGATGTACCTGTGCATTGTAACGCCAGGAGCATCCACCGAGGGCAGCCCCTCTCCTCGTTACCCCCGCCTCGCTTCGCCTGCGCTCTGCCTCCTTTCTCACCAGTGCCCCAGTGCACAGGTCACCCATGCCAGAGATGCGGTACCTGGCATCGTGGGAGGGCGTGAAGCACAAGAACTGTCTTGGTTGAGTTTTAGAGTGAGTGATCTGCACACATACTTTTAGGACGGTTTTGATGTCTTCCTGGGGGGGTGGATCTGGGCTGAGCCAGGTGGAGTGAGCTCAGGAACCTTTATGAGAGCACCTCTTGGTAATATTGTCTCAGTGGCCTGCATAGGAGCAACACCACAGGAGATCTTAAAATGACCTCTGTTCCAGTAGTAGATATTACAAAACAAAGACACAGTCTCTCAGGCTCCAGACCATCTGAGTTTTATCATAAAGCCTCATAAAAACCAACGTTTGCACTTGCATGGAAGTTCATTAGAAAATAGCGCAGGGTATAAAGCCCAAACACAAATGGGAAAAAGGAGATGTAAGGGAAGACTTCACAGGACAAGGCAGTCTGTGATTTACACACCATTTTCATAGCTGCCTTGTAGACAGCAGAAGGTAGCCCCCAGAAGGGGACGTGGGTGGGTTTTCTCTTACCAGGCTGGCTTGAAGGTAATGATGTTTTCTGAATTTTAACTTTCAGTCCTGATGACAGAGAAAGTAGAAACAGAGAGAAGGTGCTCCAGCACTTTTTGTAATACCTTAATGATTTCTTCATACAGGCTTAGGGTTTGGGAAGTATTGTTACCATTTCATTCAGCTGGCGTGTCCGAATTTGCTGTGGTCTGTACAGAGTGGCAGTGGAGCGTTTTAGCTCTGGGACTTTGGGGTAGTTGCGGTTCAATGGCTTTTATCAAAAACAGTTCTAGGTTTTTAATCAACGTGACCAAGGCAATATCTTAGTATAGTGTTTCCCTGTTGTCTTCTTGCTGACTGTAGGTTCTGGATAGAGCAATGTGACCAAGCGCTGGAGCTGGCGTAGGTTACTAGTTCACTCCAAGCGCGATGTAAAATCGAGACCCAAAGCTAGCTGCCATGTAATCACCCAGCCCGACTGAGACCCTGGGAAAGCCTCCGGATCTGTTATGGCCGTTTGGTGGGGTCTAACCCTGACCTGCCTGTGCCCGTCCTACACGGTCTGAGGGCAGAGCTTATGAAACAAATGTATTCTGACTCTGCATTGCCACTGTTCTGTGCTGCGATTAATTCCTTCTCAAAATGTGTCTTTGTTTAAGGTCATGCACATTTAACAGATTTTAATATTGCAACAATAATTAGGGACGGTGAAAGAGCAACTGCATTAGCTGGAACAAAGCCATACATGGGTAAGAAATAATAGCTGTTCCTTACGTCTGTATTTTACATTTCAAGAGCGCTCGCTGCATGCTGCCTGATGGCCCCTGTCTGTGACAAAGGCACTGAATTAATTTAGCACATTAATGCACGCGCCCAAGTCATTCAGCAGAGCCTGATCATTTGAAAAGTGAAAGTGCTGGAGTGAATGCCCCGCTGTCAGCACACCCTCCCCATCCCGCCCTGCCCTCCCCGCCGGCCCCGGGCTGGGGCCTGGTGTGTCCTGGCAGGCACCGAGTCTCTGCCGCCCCTCGCGCGCTCGGTTGGGAGGGCTCTCCCCATGTGCACCGGGTAACCCAGCTGCCCAACGAGGGCAGGCCTGCTGCTGCTGCTGCCGCTGCCGCCACCCCTGACTTGCAAAGCCTCCCCTCGGGCAGTAGTGCATAAAAATAACCAAAGGTTTACGTACTGACTTACATGAAATACTGAAATAGAAACAAACTGAAGTCAGCGAATAACCTGTTGCATTTTGCTCTTTCTGTTCAGCCCCGGAGATTTTCCATTCCTTCCTGAACGGCGGGACGGGCTACTCCTTCGAGGTTGATTGGTGGTCGCTGGGAATCATGGCTTACGAACTGCTGCGGGGCTGGGTAGGGCTCCCGGAGGGTCCGAGGGCTAAGGACGTGCTCTCTGAATGACTGCAGAGAGGAGAGGGAATGTCTTCTCATCTTCCTGCTCTTTTCCCCCAGAGACCGTATGACATCCACTCCAACAACCCTGTGGAGTCTTTAGTTCAGCTCTTCAGTACCGTCAGCGTTCAGTACTCATCTGCGTGGTCAAAAGAAATGGTTGCTCTATTAAGAAAGGTAAATAGTCTTGCTGGCATGGTTTACATTGTACATTAGCTGCAGTGCGTGCGGGATGAGCTGGAAAATTTTCAGCATATTAAAAAATAATGTAAAATTGAAATAGAACTAATTTTTATGGCTTTGGTCAGGCTTAAGCACAGATTAATCTTGTGTTTTGCTTGTTTGTTTATTATCTCTGTAATCAGATGCATTATGTTTGACAGCAAGGGAAGGAAAAAGGCTGGTTTTGGTGTGGCAATCAAATTCCTACCTGGGCTAGAACTGTAACCTTCCAGCATCCCCCTCTGTGATCGTCCTGACCTGAAAAGGCAGCGATCGCGATTGGGACAGCATGGGAGATGGAGGAGCGTGTGCTGCCCCTGCTGCGTTAGCTGCTCGCTCTCGCCACCCCTGCCGGGCCGAAGGGTCTGCTCCCATGTATTGGGTTGTGGGAACCGTCTGGGCGGTTTCCATATCTGTGGGATGGTCTGCTGCTTTCCTTGTACTGCTGCACGAGAAAGTTGTTGATTTGGTGTGGAGTCTGCGGTTTTAGCTTCTGCTTGCTTGAGAACTCAGAAAAGTAGCTGATGGGTGTGCTATAAAAAAGATATACACGGTGCTGACAGCAAATAAGTGACTCCGATGTAAGTTAATGTTGGGTGGACAATTTACATAATTAGATTTTGTTTTAATGAGCAGCAGCGTTGTTAGCTACAACTGCAGCGGAGCATTCGGTAAGTTCACATTGCCATCTGCTGGGCTGCTGGTGGTCGGGCTTCTGGAGACCGGTCGGGAATGAAATGTCCCACCAGGACAATGCCAGCAGCCACCTCAGCCTGGCAGGACCCGGCGTCCCCCCACACCGCTGGGCTTTCTGTGCTCAGGATGCCCCAGCTGCGGTCCTGCCCGCTGGGGCAGCTCGGGGGCTCTGCTGGTGCCCGCTCCCACTCCTGGCATCGGTGCCCCGCATCTCCTTCCCGCTGGGCTGGTGCCGTCGCAGCAGCCTTACTCAGCAATTGCAAATTCCTTCCTTTTCATTTTAAAGATGAAGACAATTTTATGCCATGAAAAAGTGCCTGAAAAGTTCCCCGTGTGGCAGTTATTGGTCGAGGCGGTCTTTTACCCTGTGCCCTCCACAAGCATCCCATGCTTGGGCGCTTGGCAGGCTGGAAGTATGGTCACCATTCCATGCTTCTTTCATAGTTACCTTTGGCATCGGAAAAATACTCAGTGCTGACTTTATTTCTTGCAAAAAGGCTGTAGCGACCTATAATTAGTGTGCCTAGAATTACGCTGCGTTTTTTTGAAGAAAATGGTCCTAGATGGGCATTTTGTAGAGGCCCTACTGCAGGTGTCCATCAGTTGGGAGACCGTGCACACTCAGTTTGCGGATGCCCAAAACCGAGCTGGGGTGGCAGGAGGTCAGGACTCAAATTCCAAGTGCTCTGAAAAAATGGCAAGAACTGGTCCAGAGGTGGGGTGCGGCTCCGGCGCCGGCGGCACAGGCAGGCAGGGGGCCGGCTCCTGGAGAGGCGCGAGGTTGGGCATGACTCGCCCGCCACAAGCGTCCCGCACTTGGGAGAGGAGGGACGCGCACGGGGCTCTGAGGAGGCACTGCAAATGTGGCATCAACCAAGCTTCAGTGAAGATTTTCACAGGGGGAGACCAGGCACAGAATTTTCTGGAAGCCCTACCCAGATCCCATGTTAGATGTACCCATTAGACACACCTCCACGTCAGACATGTCTCCAGCAGTCCTGGAAGCTGTAACTCAAGTCAGCTGAGGGTACAGCACGGTATGTGGTGCTGAATTCTTTGAAAAATCAGGTCTGTCCTCAGACTGGTGTCTCAGTGGATCAAGCGATTATTTTTTTCTTTGTGCTGAGTAATCCATGTGAGTGATAAACGGAGTAGTAGCCCCTGGCGTCACAGAAGTGGTGTGAAAATAGGACATGTGGAGGTTGAAACCACAATGATGAGCTTCTGAGGGAATCAATGCCTTTACAAGGGAGCGAGGCTTGTCCCTGGCATGGGGAGGGGTGCGCCGGGGCGGCAGCGCCCGGGTGCTGTGGGGAAGGGTCGTGCATCGCAGGTAGGCACAGGAGGAGCAAACCCGCGCTAGTCCGAGTGCTCACAGCGCCAAATTTTTGGCCGTCTGGTTTCACAACCTCCAGAACATATTTCTAATGTGTTTTTTTTCTATATTCTGTTACGTAGCTCCCATGACAGAAAGGTTGCTGCATGGCTGAACCG